AAGACTAGGGTATGGTAATTATTAATCTGCTTTTATACTTCAGATATGATTTTATTTATTATATGAACTAAGATGAGGAGGGAGGCTGACAACATGCCTAGAGCTTCTCCATGGTTAAAAGCCCAAACATACTAAGTTCTGGGTATTTGAGAATGAAACCTCTTGAAAAGGGGGAAAAAGTCAGGAAATTTTTTGTAAAGGAATAAAGTCATCTAAATTAAAAAGAAAAAAAACCTTGAAAATATTAAGGCATACCATAGTATAAATATGTGATAAACTTTATTTATTATTGCAAAATTGACACAATGTGAAAAAGAATTATAGAAACTGTCTTACTTAAAATACAGTTAGAAATTTAGAGGTTTCTGGAAGATTTATTTCGAGAATTCAGGGTTGGTTTTATTTAAAAATCAATTAACTTTCCACATTATAGACTAGAATAGGAAAAACTATGACATCTCAATAGATGAAGAAAAAACATTTTGACATATCCCAACATGAATATCTAATAAAAAATACTGAAGGATATCACTGCATACCTGTGAGAGGGGACCATATCAAAAAGACCAGAAACAAGTGTTGGTAAGGATGTGGAGAAAAGGGCATTCTTGTACACTATTAGAAGATATAATAATATATCTGTATGATGAAATACTATTCAGCTATAAAAAGATGAAATCTTGCCATTTGTGACAACATGGATGGTACTGAAGGGGATTATTCTAAGTCAAATAAGTCAGAAAGAGAAAGATGTTTTCACTCCACATTTAGAATACAGAAAACAAGGGATATACAAAACTAAACCAAAACAAGCCTAGAAAGCTATAGAATGGCCATCTTTGATGGCACAACAGGTTGAGATGCAGCAGTGCAAGCTAGCCACAGCCACTTTAGTGAGAATTCATCTGGCCCCCAAGGTGATCCACAAGGCGAGGCAGACCTTTCCTGTCTTGCCCATACTTCCCCTCAGCAGTGTACTTCGTCTATCTGCCTGTTCTTCTCCCTACTCTGTGTCTGGTGACTCCTCTCACCCATCCACACCTCTGGCCTGTACCCTAGTTCTGTATGCATAAATAAATGAATCTTTAAAAAAAATAAATTTATAGAATTGAGACTAGTTGAGGAAGGTTGGAAATAAAGGGAGAGGAGACTGAATGAACTATAATAGAAGACTGGGGGTGCTTTGGTGAGGGATGCATGTGATAACATACACCTGAAGAAACTGGACCTTTATAACACATAACAGTGTTGTATTATCAGTGTTACCACAGCAAAAAGAAAAAATAAATTCTATGTTAGTTAATATACACACGTATGCACACACACATTCAGTAACTGAGAAAAGGTTAAAACTGCTTAGTATACTTTCATATTAGAACAAAATTCACTTGATTTAGAAGTGACATCTCATAATCCTTAGGGAAAAAGGTCATTTTCTGCTTTTGTTACAATGCTCTGTGTAGCCTTTTCTCTGGAGCCACCTATTTGGCCCCAAACAGGCAAGGGCTCCTTTGCCCTTAATAATCCAGGTTGGTTCTTTAATCTCTAATGAGGGTCTCCATTAAACTGGTGAGCAAAGTAAATCATGTTTAAGAAAGAATAACTCAAGCTGAATTTTGGATTATTTTAATTATCACCACAAAGAAAGAGTGCTGTCAGCAGTTCCTGGTAGGAGAAAGCATTTAAAACAATAAAGACAACAAACCTGATGAGAAAACTTCTGGGCACAAGTAGAAACAATCTGAGTATTAACTAGAAATGATTACATAGCTACCATAAATGCTAAGATAAAAAAAGACTAGCAACCACAAATGTTAACAAAAATACGGGCAACTGGGAAGTTTCTCATATCATTGCAGCCATATAAAATGATACAGTGCTTTGGAAAAAAGGTCTGGCAGTTTCTTAACATACACTGACTCTGGGACCAAAGAATTACATCCTTCGATGCCCATCCAAAGGAATAAAAACATACATTCACAAAAATATTGGTACAATAATATTCATAGCGGCTTTATTCATGGTAATATGCAGAAATAGCCCTGGTGTCAGTTAACAGGAAAACAGAAAAACAAGCTGCATATTCATACAAAAGAATACTCAGCAATAAAAAGGAATGAGTAACTGATACATGCCATATGGATTAATCTCAAAAACCTGCTGCGAGAACCATTATGCTTTTTATTGATTTCATTTACATGAGGTTTGAGCACAGTCCAACTTAATCTGTGAGGCAGAATAACTGGAACAGTAGTTACACTGAGGGGCAGAGGAATGACTGGGATGGGCATGAAGAAACTTCTGGCACAAGTGTCATACTCTAAATTTGGATAAAGATTTAAGTCACATAGGTGTATGTGTTTGTAAAAACTCAGTAAACTTATACCTAACATTTGGGTGTTGCATTGTATGTCAGTGTACATCAAAGAATTTAGAAACTAAACAATGCCAAGCTCTACTTAATGATATGCATATTGAATTATTAAAGAAAAGCATATCAATGCTTGCAATTTTATTTTCTTTCATTATAAAGTAACACAGATAATTAATAAAACATGTAGAATAAAATATAGAATACATTGTATTTAAGTATATACAATTCTGTTAAGTTTGCTATATGTTTGAAAGTTTTTATCATAAAATGATAAGGAGAAACTCTCAGTAGGTTTTATATTCTTATATTCTTTGAATTAAATTAGATTTTTTAAGATAGAGAACACAGGGAATAGAAATTAACCCCTGAATTTTCCCTGGTACTTGAGATTATATATCAAAATATGGTAAGAAAGATAAGAAAATAAGTTATTGAAAAAGAAGTCAAGTTATGTTAAGAGTAATTACTAACACTGGTATTGCTATCACAACAGGACTGCAAGTACCATTTTTTGTACATTTTAAAAATGACTTTTAACCATTGGATGAAAAGCCATCTTTTATGTCTTATTTGTGGGAATAGGCCAATTGTGTCTCATCCAAACTTTGTCCAAAATTTGGATATACAAACATCATTAAAAAACACTTATAAATCATTGTCTTAAGTACCTAGTATTATAATTGTTGGTATGTTATGTACGGGATAAAAATGACACTGTCCTTTGCCTTGCTTTAGAAGAAATATGGCATAGTTTGTGTCAAGTAACTTAGAGATTGCTTCCCACCTCTGCACGTGGGACCTAAAGAAAATTAATTTCTGTAAACATTACTTTCCTCACTTGTGAAATAAGGAAAGCTAACTGTAGTCACACTCTTTATGGTTATTTTCAGTTTAAGTGAGACAATTGATTTTACATGTATCACAGTGACTGGTAGATGGAAAACACTCAATAAATAAATACTATTACTTATAAGCGTTGTATAAGAAACACAACATTCAGTTATAGAGGGATACAGAGCACCTTCATTGGTTTAAACAACAATATTGTCTTCTCATTTGTTTTAAATAGTAACTATAACAAAATTTGGTGTTCTCTTAGAGTTACAAGTGTTTTAGTAAATCAAAGAAACACAACCTTGTTGCACTGATACTGTGAGAATACAGTTTTAGGTCAAGTAGTGAAATGTAGACATAAAATTATCAGCTTAATATCTGGTACCACTGTTAAGAAGTGACCTTATTTCGCTTAGTCTTGTGTTAAAAACTCAGAAATGTAACACATAATGTTTTATACTCTCACTAGCACCTCTACGGTAGTGGGCCCCATAGTGGAGTCTCTAAAGCAATCCAGAGAGTGGAGTTAGGATAGGACAAGAGGATATGCTACTGTGGGGAGCTAGGAAACCCATACATTTTTAGGAAGCAAACTGTACTGTTTCCTGCTATGTCTGTTACCTGTAATTTCCCACATTCTTTGCTCTCTTTTATCTACTTTGGCATCTTTTTATCAAACATCTTGTTAACAATCATGTAGCCATAATCTTGCCACTGAATGGTCTGAAAGCTTCCAATATTACACTATGTAATACTACTAAATAAGCATAAAATGAGAATGAATTTTCAACTAGTAGATCTAAAAGTATTAGAATTTAATATCTGAAGTTTTATAATCTTACTCATGAGGTAACCATTTCTTTATCAAATAGTTATTGTACATAGGACCAGATTCAGATAGATTTTTAACCCATATATAAATATTTTTCCAGGTTTTAAAATGCTAGCAGTCTTGGTTTCTATTGTGCAATATACAATTTAGATTTTTCCCCTTCATTTCTTTCAAACTTATGAGTTCTGCTACAAATTTGACTTTTGAAATAGTTAATATCTTTTTCTCTTTAGTCCTGTTGACCCAAATAAGATTGATATTTATTTGCAAACTTGAAGGGCATACCTGTACAGGATTCATATATTCTTAACATGGGATCAAGTAAAAACTGAAGTATTTAAATGTAAATTCAAGTTAAAATTTTGTATTTTAACCTTAAATCTGAATCAGCAGGAATTTACTGTTGTTTCCTCTCGTTTTAGTTATTCTTTTGAGGCTGAATCAGAGAAATGTGCTGAATATATGGATTGCAAACATTAGAATTCTTAAATAGGAAGCACAAACATTTTCTTCCATTACTTAGGCTGCTTTTATTTAACATTCTGAAGAGTGATTACCTGAATTCAATGATCTTATTTAGGCTGGCTTTAAGAAAGAAAGAAAGAAAAAAACTTATTTCACAAATAAGATAGACTCAAATATTTATCCAATTGTTTCCCAACGCAATAGAAATTTCTAGGTCTTTATCTATCCTAGTGCAACCCAGGATGCCTGTATCTCATTGCAGAGGCATGAAAATGGTGCTGAGGCAGAATTGGAAGACTCACCAAATAAACTAATGGTGAAATGAAAACAACACTAATGATGTGTTAAGAGCTAAAAAAGCGACATACTGGGAAAAAAAACGTTAACTGAAAGTATGCTTGGAATCTTACATTAGTCTATAATAAAAACACAAATAAGCAATGGGAACACCAAGTCAAGAGAATAAAGCCATGGAAGAAAAGACAGAGGGAACTACAGCCAATTTCTGCTATTATTAACAAATACAAACATCCATAAGATTTAAAAAAAAAAAAGTGGTGGTTTTTCTTTTTTTGGCTCAAAAGTATGTCTTACATTACAGATCTCATTTCTTATCTTAAGCAAAGCTCAGTATTATACACAGGATCTTAGTGTATTCTTTGTAGTTTTTTCTTCTCTCTTATTATCAATCAAAATTCCATACAATTCTTTAAGAGCCCATTAATGACTCTCCCCAGCACCTGGAATTAAGCTGCCCTTCCTTTTCTGCTCTCAGGATTTTATATTTGCATTACCACCTAGCTAAAAGTTCTAATATGCGAGATTTCTTTGGATACCATTCCAATAAACTATTACATAAAATGATGTCCTCATCATCTTATATGGCAAGTTTAATAAAGAAGTCACAGTTATCTGAAGTCAACACAAGACCTTTTCTGGAAATTATTGTAGAGCTCATAATGCAGACAATAAAAAAGAGGACTAGACAGACACATTCTTTGGGTGTGTGGCTAAAAGTCTCCCAAGTCACATCTGAAAATTTTAAATTATCGAATTTTTTTCCTACAACTTTTGCTTGGTATTTCTTCTTCACCAGCATTGCATACCATCTGGTAAACATAGCAGCTGAAGACTCTGTTGGGTTTCTGTTCTATGTGTAGTACCAAGTCTCTGTCAAAGTAGACTTCATGGCTATATGTCTGTAATAAAAACACAGTCAAATGGTATTTCCCCTGCACATAACTCTATTTATTATTGCAGCACTTAAATGGTAAAGCACCTGTGCTAGGAATCTTCAAAAATACATTTAGAGGCAAAATAGCTGCCTTAAGTAGTTTAACAATCATTATCTGTCGATAGGGGGATTACTTAATGAGAAAAGCATTGCACAAATTGTTGAAAATGAAAAGAACTCCAGACCTAGAAGCCTGACTAATCAGATTTTACTGGCAACCTTTCACTATGTGACCATGGCTCAACTGCTGCACCTTTCAGGTTCTCCACTGATAAAGAAGGATTGGATAAAACAATGTCTTCTGCTCCTTATAACCTTTAATTCTGTAATACTCAGTATTATGGCATTTATTATTTTCAGTATGTATTTGTCTCGATATATAAGACAAATGTCTCTAAGAGTGCCAGGAAATCCTAAATGCTTAGAGATGGTCTCCATTAAACAAGCAGGGGCTCATTGCAGCATAGTTCCATTTTTTTTATATCATCACCAAACTTGTAAAATGAGAAAACCAAAGACTAAGGAGTAGTCTTTGGTAAGGAATAGACAATATGTCTCAGGAAGAAACATAAAGCTTTATCTTTAAGTATCCGGGTAAGGAGGCATCCTCTTGTCCCTAGAGGAGGAAGGTTTAAAAAGTACTCATTTTGTCCTGCATAATGGGTAGTAACCTCTTTCACGTGGTCATTGTAAAGGATGAGTCTAGACTGCCAGGAACGTAGTAACATCTTTTATAATCAATGTTACTTATGAAGAAAATTCTTTTAAGTTTGTATTCCAAGATCTTACTCACCACATCCCATGACTCCACTAGCGGAATGCTTTTTAGTAAAGTTCCATATTCATTACAGTGGAAATCCAGATGAGCTTTTCCATCAGTATCTATTTGAGTAACAGCTACTACAGAAAGCAAATCCAACTCATCTTCATAATCCACAATTTTGAAAGTCTCATGGGACAGTGATGGTTAAAACAGAGGAAAAGAAGAACAAAACTGAACTATTGAAATGCAGAAGTCATATATGTGAAGCAAGATCATTTTTAGTTGATTTCATAAGTACTTCCTGTAATATTAAAAAAAAAAAAAAAAGAGTACAATGTACAAGCTCAGTGACTGGCAAAGTCAAACTGAGAAAGCTGAGGCCAGAGGCTGAACTGCACCCTCACACCCTGGCCCATGAAAATTAATGTCTAGTAAGTAAAAAAATTAGACTAAAATTATAAGTTATTAGGACATGACTCAAGAATTTTCTGTAAAGAAATTTTTCCCAGAAAATGTGCATAGCAATAAAACAAAATAAGCTAACAGTTTAAAAAACATTTCAGTTCTGTGACTCTTTCCACAAACAATAGTTTATGAATAATTCCAATATGAAAAGAGAAGATGAAAGATGAATACCAGTTGAAACAACATGCACAATCCTACTAAGTAAGTCTCCTTACCATCAAACTTTACCCCAGGGCTTAGGAAGCATAATCAAAACACCATAGGGCAAGTACATACTAGTTTGGCTTGTTATCTCTGGTTAAAATAATACCTCTTGTTCTGGGTCGTCATCCAGAAGGTTGATTTGTTTTTTTACCAACCGTCCAGAAGATGTAACAGTGAATAAGTTTTCACACTAGCATATGGAGAGAGAGAGAAAAAAAAGATGACAAGTTCTATTATTTTCTTTTTTTTTTCAAGTTCTATTATTTTCAATGGCAAAACTGAATTATGAAATTTGTAAAACTAACCAACCCTTCACCCACAACCACAATTCTTTCCTCAACTGAGGCAATTCTGAAAGAGTTCTGATCCTCCAATTAGTCTATACAAAATAGACAAAAAAATATATATATATAAATGTTACAGATTTGCTACTTTATTGCTCTTGTGATTTTTGCCCTAATACAATATAGCAAATAAAAGTTAAACCGTTTTTTTTAGGAGTTTCCCTCATTAAACCTTTGGGCTGAACATCTATCAATAAAAACTTAAAAGGAACCCAGAAAGAAAATAGAAATAAGCAAAAGATAAACTCAATATAATTAAATGTCTTCAAATTGCTTATGTACTTGAGGCTCACTAGATAGCCAAGTAGACAAAATGAACACATTTCTATAGAATTGTGCTATTCTTTTCAGTCACACTAAAAGGCAAAACATTTTAGTATTATATATATATAT